GCGTCCCCCGTCCCCAGCAGGCCAGGGACCCCGGGAGCAAAGCCGCAGTGGCGGCGGAGACCCGCGCCTCCCCAGCTTTGCCAGAGCAAAGCCTCAGAGGCGCAGGACACCTCCGCCTACCCAGCTTTCTCCAGGTGTCCCTGGTCTGCTGGAGACAGTCCCCAGCAGACCAGGGGCACCCGGAGCAGCTTTTCTCGCCCTGGAGGTCGAGGTGGTGGGACCGCTGCGCTCTGGGGCGAGAAAACTCGGGGACTGCCTGTACTGATTTTACTTGATGATATTGTATTTGTATAGAGTAGAACCTCATAGTTATGAATATCAGAGTAACAAAGTGACTGGTCAAACATATGCCTCATTTGGAACTGGAAGTACACGAGCAGGCAGAAACAGATCCCTTCCCAGCACTACCTCAAAAATAAAGCAAATAGAGTCCCCTGTCAACTGTAAGTTACTATTTAAAAGAGAAAAGCAGCATTTTTCTTCTGACAAGTAATTTCAAAGCTTTCAATGTTCAGTTGTGAACTTTTGAAAGATCATATTTTTTTTGTTCAGAATTATGAACATTTCACAATTACAAATACCCCAGAAATGGAGGTGTTCATGATTCTGAGGTACAACTCTGTTTGGGGGGAGGGGGAGTGAAAAAGAAGGAACAGGGCTGCAATAGCTGGTTCCAGTTTCTGTGCTCAGAAAGCAATCGCCTTCTAGGGCCCTCTCTGCATTTTAGGTGATCATGCATGAGAATTCTCCTTTTGCTCTGTCATGAGAATTCTCCTTTTAACATCTCAGTTCAGGCACTTTTCACTTTTAAAACACTTTTAGTATCAGCCTTCCTCTAAATTTTCTCCTTCATCAGCCTTTAGTTTTTTTTATTTGTAATTTTAGGATTTGTGCTTAGGATAGTTCTTTTGTTGATTGAATTACGGTGTATCATTCTCCAATGTCTTGGCAAAGCACAACTAAAGGCTTCCATCTCCACAAAGTTAGGCACCAGGGAAGGGGGGATAATTAAGATCATAGGAGATGGCCGTCATACTCTCACTTCCAGTGCTCAGCACCAGAGCAACCTGCAGCAATTGCAGGGAAAGGTCTGCTGAGCCTCCTGAAGGCCTGAATGGAACAATGAAATCTTCAGAAAAATTAGCAGCTAAACTCGAACAAGTCTTTCTTAAGTGTCTGCCAATTGAGATTTTTCTGCAAAGGCTTATAACTGGAACAGATTTGTGATTCTTTTAAAAAACATTCATAGAGTTATAGAAGATTAGGATTGGATCCTTAGGATGTCATCTAGTCCAACACCCTGTTCAAAACAGGATCAACCTTAAATAAATGATTCTAGCCAGGGTTTTTGTTAAGCCTGACCTTAAAAAGCTTTAAGGATGGCAGTTTCGCCACTTCCCCTGGCATCGCATTCCAATGCTTTAACACCACAACTTTTCCTAATATCCAAACTAAACTTCTCCCACTGTAGCTTGAGACCATTGCTTCTTGTTTGTCATCTACCAATACTAAGAATAGCATACTTCCATCCTCTTTGGAACCACCCTTCAGG